TGCAGGCTATGCTCTGCGTTCACTCAAACAGCAGCACAATACGGTGGAAGAATAAATAGCAACAACTCTGCACACACAAAAATGACTTTGATTAAACTATATTACAAACTGTATTGCATCAAACAATCCACAGATTAATCGAAAACTTGATTCTTGCTGTGTACATGGATAAATGAATATTAAATCGCATGTAGTCAACTATTGTTAACATACTCCCATCAGCCCACGTTTATTTATTCATATTTATTTATTTTTCTTCTAGTGTTACCCTGGTTACCATTTTCTTGCATACGGTCATTCTATTACCTTCACTTTTATTTTGACATATTCTTACTTCCGGATTACCTGTTTTACTTTGCATTGCTCTTCAAAAGAAAAAACAAATAAACCATAAAACAGACTATCAAAACATACACGGACCAGGGGGGCACCCTCTGGCACTCTCTGGCACACCCTCTGGCACCCTGAGGCACCCTCTGGCAGCTTGTGGCACCTACTGACATACATATACATATAAGCAGAGGAAGAGTGAAGATATTTTCAGACATATATTTTTGGATTGGACATTTTATGGGTTTTAATTTTAATTTTTAATTTTTTATATATATAGTTTTAAATGATAATAAAATGGATGATTTAGTCATTATTTTAGCCGATTGTTGTAAATGACTGTAAAATAATTTGGAAAGAGTGTTCCCTTTTGTTGCAAAACCAGCAAAATCATACTTAAATAAAATGAATGAGAAACAAAAAAGTACAACGTAATTACTCTAAGGATGCATACAAAGAACAGGTGGCTCCGGTGACTCAACTAAAATCATAAAACTGATTTACGGAAGCTGACGTGTTGTAACAACAATGTGTGTTCTCAGGAAATGTGGCTCCGCCCCCTCAGCTCCGCCGCTTCTTGACGGGTGCCGAACTAGTACCGCTCGCCTGCCACAGCTGACGCTTGCCGCTGAGTGCCACAGGGGTGCCAGTGCCACAAGAAGGATCTCGCTGTCTCTCCAGGCGGGCGCAGCTGACAGTCAGATGGAGAGGTGAGTGGAGCCATATCAGAGCTGGTGGACAATTGTGCTCCAGCCCGTAGTCCACAGCCTTGTCCAGGTATTAGCAAAGGTGGAAGCTGATTCACAGACGGTTCCGTTTTCAGTTTGATGTGTGTAGACACTCTATATCTGTGGTCTCCTTCAGAGCCCAGGGCTAACAAACGAGCCAGTAGTAGCCCAGCAGGCTAACCGATCTGGGGAACGCAAAAACCTAAGAGGTCTAGTACGTGTTTGCTGACATCGTACTCCTAGTTCAATTCACACAGATCAGAACAGCTAGGATCTCAAAAGTATAAGGCAAAAAATGTGGCCAAAACTGGAGGAAAAAATGCCAATTTGTGAAAAAGAGTGAGCGGAGAAACAGACACGACGCCACAGAACGCTGACGTGGCTCCTAGTGCTCTCTGAGATGTGAACAAGGGGGGGTGATAATTGTATGAGTAATTGATTACAATGAGTAATTGTATGTATGTATGTACGTGTGTAAACCAGTGGCGGGCCGTGCATTTTATACCTGGGCCTGCACTCATAAAAATGAAACTCAACACCTACAAATACACTATGAGTGCAGATACATGAATACCGGCATGACTGGATGCGGCGGCATTAACGAACAATGAGTCAAAATCAATTCAGCTAAAACACGCATTCCGCCACACACTCAAGAGCACGGGCCATTCAAATATTATTCATATCAGAGGGAACAATATTACCCATATCATGAAAATGACACCATAGACAAATTAACAGAGTAGGAACTCTCCTATCACTCCCTCCAGGAAATACACGGCTCCATAGTTCTTGTTACTGACGGATTTATTTGCCTGTCAACACCGAGAGGGAAAATGAGTCCACTTGAAAACACATGAATCTTCAAAGTAGATCACTTAAAAACTTAAACTTAACTTTAAAACTTTGCACGGAGTATATAGACCGCTGCCGCTTCGCGCGTCATCTTGTTGCTGTGCACCGGCTAAATGTGTCCCCCGCACAACATAGGACGTAACAATAGTTCCTATCACATTTAAAACCAAACGAAAATCCATATAAGTTGTATAAATAATAATATATAATATAAACAAGCATATTAAATGATGACATAGATCATATTTATGGAAGTTAAAGCTACTGCAGTTAACTTACCAGAGCTGCTGTTCACTATTTAAAGACAAAGTCCATCCTCCTTTCTTTGTTAACAAAGAGGTTAATCTCACGGTTGTTCGGTACATCCATGCGTTTTAGCTCCAGTAAGAAGTCCTTCTCCATTCATCGATGCCAGTGAAGACAGTCGAGCCTCCCCAGTTGTATTTCTTGAATACGTTTTAATGCGTTTGAGGGCTGAAAATGTCCGCTCGACAGAGGCAGCAGATATTGGGATTGTCACCGCCCAACACGTCAGGCTAGCTCACTGACCAATCACGTATGGCTAAGCCAGCTAGCAGGCTCTGACACGTCAAAGAATACGCCCAACATGTCAAACTAAAGATCTGATTGGTTGAACACTATGACAATCAACAACATCGTCCCCATTCACTTAAACTGCACATGGATTCACTTGTGAGTCTGCAGGCCTCGGGCCTCTCTTCTTACCTAGAGACACAGAGGTGAAATCTGATTGGATAAAAGCTTTACTTAAAACAAGCTGCACTGGAAGCAGAGCAACTGAGGAAGACAGTAGCAGTGCAATGAGAAAATAAGATAATGGGGAAAATATTTATATAAATTATAATACATGTAGATTATTTAAGAACAATTATTAAATTATAAAATAGATATAACTTTGTGATTCTGTTTAGGCCAGCAGACAAGGCCTTGCAGGCCCTGACGGCCCACCACTGGTGTAAACCATAGACTGTCTAGGGCATGGGTCATTAATAGGCGGACCGTGGTCCGGATCCGGAACCAGACGCCGTTGTACCGGACCGGGACCTAAAACCGAAAAATAATTGAGAATTATTCAATTTTGATGGAGGGCCTCTATTTTAACTGGCGCAATTTTTCTAGCCTTTACGGCACCTGTTCAGTGGTCCAGGAAACACACCGACCAATTACAAGATGTCATCTCACGTGATGCTACTCGACCAATCAAACATGTGTATTCCAATAAGCATCGCCCTCAACTTGAGTGAGATAAACACACAAACGGCAGAGAGACCCAACAGTCGGAGAGAACGTGAGTCCGAAGTTATTTCACATGGTGTTCCCCAAAAAGAGAAAAGTGGACAAGGAGACCAGAGTCTTTAACCAAGAATGGACAGACTCTTAAATGTTAATTCTTCACACAGGCAGTTTAAAACCAGTGTGTCTCACATGTTCAGAGACGTAGCGGTAACGTGAAGCATCACTATGAGACAAAACACAACTCTTTTTTGCAAACATACCCACTCACATCTGAAATGAAGTCACAGAAAATAAACCTAAGAGCCCAATATGATCAGAATCCTGTTACAATGTTTTTAACTGTCCAACAATGATGTTAACAGAGAGAATAGAGCTGAAACAAGTAGTTTCAATAACCACAGATATATTTCCTGCACACAAATGTCTCTTTTTAGAAGATGAGAAGAATATGATCTCATCTTTTTTGGTTGACATCATTTTACCACATGAACTGAATTTAAAGCTGCCGGACAGTTCATTTTACCAAAATGAAGTACTTTATTTTACGAAAATGACGTACTTTATTTTAAGATGCACATTTTTTAAAAAGCTTTCTGTTATCTATTTTATTTTTTTTAATCCAGTCCTTTTACTTGAAATGAGAGCAGAACATTTATTAATTATTAGAGGATGTATTATTTATAATTCATTCAGTTAAATTTGAAAACAATAAATAATGTTGAGATATTATTGAATTTGCCTTTCTTCAATTGAAATGACAGTCAGTTGTTGACTACTTTAATATATATGGGACTAAATCAATCCACAAATGAAACATTATTGTGATGTCCCGAACCTTTGTTGAATGTCATTTGAATAGTTTAGGGTATAAATGTTCCTGCTGTATTTATGCCAAGATTGTTATTTTGAGTGGACCAGCTACAATGTTAGCATAGCCTAGCACTGATCGATACAAAAAGAAGCATTTAAACATTTGTTTTGTTGTCGTTTTGCAGACAGATCTGGAAAAGCATGAATTTAGACTTTTTACACTCTCATGTGTGTCTGGTAAATATGAAGCTACCGCCGGAAGCTGGTTAGTTTAGCTTAGCACAAAGTTTGGAAAAAAAGTCAGAACAGTCCAGCTAGCCTGGCTCCGTCCAAAAGTAACACAATCTGCCTCCCAGCATCTTCAAAGCTCACTGAGTAATGGCTTATACGGTACATCATATCACGCTACATGAATCTAAGCTCACAGGCTGCTCCTTCATTACCATTCAGATTGTAGTTTAATGTGCTTTCATTTATTGAACGGCCTGGAATAATTCACACTCAAATGTACTTTGGTAGCTCTTCTTTTGTCCATTATTGTGAATTTAAACATTTTTTATTTCAACCTTTAATTATTTCAACACCTTAGCTAGCATGAAGATAATTGAAAGAATACATATATATATTTGTTCAGATGACTAGTTACATTTACATTAAAAGTCACAAAGAATTTGCAGTTCTACCGAGCAAAGCTACTTTCCTTGTGGAAGTATTTGGAAGACTTTGGTCATGGTAGAGGTGTTACAATGCACTCGTATAATAAATGTAACACATTGCTTCTATCCCTTAAAGGCATTGTCTCTGCCTTATCCTTTGTTCCCCATATCATGCATTGTTGTGCACTATGATTATGCTAACATGTTAACATGTAACCCAGGTGACAATGATGATTTGTGATTAGGTCTTAAAATAGAGAAGTTTTTGTCATGATGCATTTGGCCTCTTACAAAATGTGGAATATTCTTTGAACTGCTCTTTTCCGCTGCTTTCACTTTGTTGAAGTTTCCTCTTACTTTACAGCTGCTGCAGAGAGCTTCTGAGACCAGCTGCAATGCAACCAAACACAACACAAGAGCAAACAGGTATCATTATACTAAACATGGATATATTCAGACATGCTATCAATCACCATTCATCAAAAACACAAGTTCTACTTTCTCTTTTGAGAAGATGAGGTGAGAAGCTGATCATCAAATACGTTATTTTTCCACCGCAAAAACGTGTGTATCTTTTATTATGGCTTTGCTTTTGTGTACACTGTTTGTCCTCTCGCTTTAACGATGACTTCCTGGAACTAAAGTTCAGCACTGATCAGGAAGTTGAGTGAAATCAATTTTATTTATAGTGCAAAATCACAACAGAAGTTATGTGATGACACAGTCTGGCACGTCAGCTTAGCCTGCTGCTGCTGGACACAAGGTTGATGACAGCAAGGTGTGCATGCTGGACAACCAAACTAAGGCTTTGTAAAGCTAAAGGTCACAGAGTTGGTCATTTGATGCATTGTTAATACACAATGATTGGTTAGTGTAGCTTTAACGTAAGGTACATTTGAAGCATGCATCAAGGTTTTCACTTGTTGTTCCCAACTGGTAGCCAGTGTCCTCACTGTAAGGGCAACCTGGAGACACCTGTCCATCACAGTGCCAAGATACCCAACAGATACTCAGTAAGTATACCTGCACCTTCACTGTCTTAAACCCTTAAATCTTTTATCCTCCTCTCCATTGTGTTGGAGCACAGTCACATGTTACATGTAGGAGAGAACAACTTGCTTTTAAAAGTAGAACACATTTTGAAGTATTTCCAGAGGAATAATGCCCGTTTATCCTTCAGTCTTTACAGTACAATCAGCAGTGGTGAAGAAGATGAGGAACAGCACTGTTCTCTGACAACCTCACAGGATTACTGGACTAAATCAGTGTGGTATTATCAAATAAAATCAGAGTTTGTCTTTATTATGACTCCACAGGGTTGAAGACCATATTTTATGTAGTGTTCTAATGCACAGGAACGTTTTTGTCTAAAATACCATTTTATAAGTCAGTATTTACATTTGACTTCAATTGAATTAAGCAGCCTAGACCACAAAAAACAAACCCAGAACAGAAGTACTCCAGGAATGTGGACTAGGGTGTCTACATGTGTTAAACCATATACTGTAATTCTTCATAACAGCGCTATCAATGAACACAAAGATAATTCTCAGTGCACTTTCAGGTGTGTGCTGATTTGGTTTGGTGCCACATGACTGTTCATATTGGTCTTTATCATTTCTACAGAACATCAGAATAATGTTCTGTGACGGCGCAGCAAGACTTAACAGAGGCCAAGCTCAAACATTAAAAAGGCTTCAACCACTTCTTTACGTGAAGTTCAGTTTATCAGTTATGATGAGAAGGTACTATTCAAATAGTGAAAACATTAGTAAAATGTCTCTTGTGTCCGAGGATGTCTGAAAAGGTAACCTTGATGATGTCATCAACACGACTCAAGATCTTATAACAGAAAGCCTGCGTTACCAACTCCAAGAAGTCCAGTTGGCATTGGTATTAAAAACCTTTGAGTTGCATGATGGTTGATACCATTGGTGCAACCAGCTGCCGGTTAGTTTAGCCCAGCCGTGACGCTGCTTTCAGTGATACACCAGCAATGTCTGTGAGATAGAATGCTATTTCTCAATACATTGTCTGTGTTCAACTCCGTTACTCTCACTGTGCTGAGTCCATATCATTTTTGACTTGTCACATTTTTCTGAAACATCAAACACTAGTGGTAGCCTCCATTGCTACTCCGTATCTTAGCTCTGTTTGTAGTATAGTATATATATAATGAGTTACAACACATTCAATGCATATGACAGAAATGATTCATATAATGGGAGTAGTAAATAGAATAATGATGGAGAAATATTATACCAATGACTTCAAGGTAAGCTCTGTAGCATTGCTACAGCGGTTGCTGTTTTAAAAGACACACATTGAAAGTTGGCTCCTCCTCTCTCCAGCTCAATGAGTGAGAGAGAGAGAGATAGAGAAACAGAGAGAGAGAGAGTACATTGGTGGTCGAACGATCTAGAGATTGACTGAAGAGATGGAGCAGCGTTGAGAACAAAGCAGTCAATCAGAGGAACTTTATTTTCTGATTATTTCACGGTAGTCACATCTAAAGCACAAATAAGCGCTCCCACACCTCTGCACAAGCCTGCAGGAAGCTGCTGGTTGTGGTTTCTTGTGCAGCAGAAGCACAGGCTATGGCCTGTCTGCTCTGTGTGTGGCTCTGCTCTAGGAAACTGTCACACCGATAGCAGCACAGCAGCCACTCTGCTTTGTTTTGGAAAAGGGTCACGTGATAGAAGCATGACGAATCAGGGGAGGACATGCGGTCCCAATCAAGAAGCCAAAGCTTCTCTCAGATAATGTCATTTGAATCATCGTTAACCCCTCTGCTTTCAGGGCCTGCCACTCTACCTAAACTGCACACATTAAAGTAGTGAATCATCTTCTCCTTACTATGAATTCAGATTTTGATATGTCAGTAGGTTTGAGATCCCAGAAGAGCTGCTTTAAAGTTAAAAGAATAAAGAATGGACTAAGAAGATCAGGCCAAAGAACACATATACACAGATTATACTTTTATTTGAATGATATATGCTAACAGTCAATTTATGCATTTATGTATTGTGTGTTGATATGAAGTGATTTAACAGCTACAGCTGTAATGTGATTACAATACTGGGTCTGTTGACAGAAAGTAGTGGAAGGTCTGGTGATCATACTGTGTGATTGTAAACTTGGGGACGGTTTTGACGGTTGAGTCAAAAAGAGGAAGTACTGCTGCATATGTGAGGATGGGGTCAGGAACAGGTCTCTCTGCCTCTCTTGATGAGACAGAGGGTACTTCCCAAGTCTCTTAATTGTCGTTTCCTCGATCCTCGCTTGAACCGGAAGTTGTTCTGCGCCGCCATATTGACGGCCGTCCTAAAGCTCTTATTTAGCTCTGAGGATCGAGGAGGGATCTCTGAGGAGCCATGAGCGAGGACCCACGAGAACAGACTTCCAGGAAGTGTTTAAACGGCCAACACGCCCCCTCATTGTTCATCAGTCATGTGATTGGACGCTGCAGCCGATCGGATTGATGAGATTTTGTTCAACATGTAAACAGTGAAGACGGATCACAGGTTAAACTCAAGCTTTATATTCATACAGAGGCAGCAGATATTGGGATTGTCACCCCCCAACATGTCAGGCTAGCCCACTGACCAATCACGTACTTGTAGGCCAGCTAGCAGACTCTGACACGTCAAAGAATACGCCCAACATGTCAAACTAAAGATCTGATTGGTTGACCACTATGACAATCAACAACATCGTCCCCATTCACTTAAACTGCACATGGATTCACTTGTTGTGAGTCTGCAGGCCTCGGGCCTCTCTTCTTACCTAGAGACACAGAGGTGAAATCTGATTGGATAAAAGCTCTACTTAAAACAAGCTGCACTGGAAGCGGAGCAACTGAGGAAGACAGGAGCTGTGCAATGAGAACATAAGATAATGGGAACAATATTTAGAATACATAATTGGTGTATTTGTGAAAATATTATAAAATAGATATAACTTTGTGATTCTGTTTAGGCCAGCAGAGAAGGCCTTGCAGGCCCTGACGGCCCACCACTGAGTTTAGCCAATTGCTGATTTAAAGATATGAATGAGTGACAAACAATTTAGCCAATCAGCGTCGCGGGTCCTCGTCAGAAGTCTCTACACGCCAGCGCGAGCACTACTCCTCCAAGTCTCGTTTGAGAGGAGAACTTTGGCGGAGATTCTGCAGCCAAAGAGCTGATCCCAGATCAGCCTGACCTCACAATCAGACAGCAGACTAGCGGGAAAGGGAAGCAGTACATGCGAAGCTTCTGTACTAGCTGTACACCAGACAGGTTTGGCTAGCTGGATGACGTCATGCTAATAACTTATTTAGCTTTTTAAAACAACAGGGACAGATCCAGCACGGACAGTTAGGGAGTGAGGGATGAGGAGGTAAGGAAACATGAGAACACCAGGGTAGGGAGTGAGGGATGAGGAGGTAAGGAAACATGAGAACACCAGGACACACATGGAGAACTCTGTCAAGCTACATATTAGGCAAAGTGAACATCTTTTCTTCTACATAGTTGTCCTCAGTCTCATCTGCTTAACTTGGTCATGGAGGCATCAACATTTAATTGAGATGGTAAATTAACAGTGAAATTAAGTGAATATTTAGTGGTTTTAGGTGGCTCAGACAGTAAATTAATTGTGGTTTGAATTCACTATTTTGTTATTTATTTTTCTCTTTTATTAATGATGTACATGTTATTTTTGAATTTTAGGATGTCTAAACGTAAGTACAAATTGTACTTGGAGCCAAACAACACTATTAAAATACCTCGTTCAAGACTGAAAAGACATTTGGATGTAAGTCTGCTCATGACACACTGTGCTACCCCCTCTTGATGTATCAAGTGTTTTATTATTTTAAATGTCTTACCTGATTATGTTCTTTTAAATAGTTGAAACCACTTTGTACATTTTAAAATCTACCTCAGGCTTTGGATGTCACTGGTGACCACAACAATGAAGAGGACGGAATCAATCCTCACCTGAGCCCTGCAGATGTTGAGGTGAGATGGTAATATGCTCTTCAAATATGTGGTGAGATGTTATTTGACACTGGTCCTTACTACATTTAGTACGGTTGTTGTTTTTGTTAACTTTGTGCTTGTGTAATCTCTTTTTCATCCTATGCAGACCACGTCTCCATCTGGCCACTTTGAGCTTACGCAGCATTATGATCAAGAAGACACGATTGACCAGGTGAGCTCTTCTAGCAAACCAAACCTGTGAATTTTTGACTTGTTGAATTTTTTTTCTGAAATTTACCTCAGGCTTTGGATTTCACTGGTGACCAGAACGATGAAGAGGACAGAATCAGTCCTCACCTGAGCCCTGCGGATGTTGATTTTAGGGATTTATGTGCTCTTTCATTCCATATAAAGACTAAATTTTTCACTGGGATTTTTTTTTTTTTTATCAATGTGCTTCGATAATATATTTTGCATCCTATACACGTCATAGCTCCACCTGTTAATACTGATCTTCAGCTGGATTCAGATGACATGGCCGACCAGGTTAGCTTTTCTACCAGCCATACTGGAGGGGTGTTTTAAGATTGCAAGCCTTATTTAAAAAATTATGTTTTATAAATCATAAAGACCTAGTTTAATCATCAGTATTTCCACAGTATTCCAGCTAACATATGTCCTTTAAATGTATCAGAAAAATATAATGTAAATACACTTTGACAAGTTTCAGTCATGGCTGTAGTAGTGTTAGTATAGTATATAGTACATAGTGAAAGTATTTTCACCATTTGCTCTTTTAATTATTTTTGGTCATGTAAATAGAATTAAAGGAATCTCTCCCAAGAATACTCGGGCAGGATTAGACAACCCAGACAACTATCTTTACCATCATAGGCTGTTGCATTCCATACAAACCTAGTGCCATCCAAATGATGGAGAACATTAGTTCTATTAATTGGCAAATCTCATTTTCCTAATATGAAAATGTTCTTATGCCAAGGACTTATTTCATACTAAAAAGTTGTGGAATAGTATTATACATTAAACACAATTACATGCATTTGCAGCACATCCAATAAAAAAAGGAAATCACAATAACACAGGATTTCAAATCTACATGGCATGATTAGGCTCCAAGCTCTGCTGCAGGTAGAGGGAGGTGGGGCTTATAAAAACAAAATTGGCTACTGTCTAATTTCAAAGCCAGATAATAATTCACTCTCTATTTAAGAGCAGCTGAGATAGTCACTAAAATGAGAATAGCTGGTCCATCATGTGAGCCTTGTCAGGTTAACCTAACCCATTTTTACAGTTTTCTGGGTGGACAACGACATTACATTCCAATACGTTACCTTAAATAATCAACACATGCAACATTTTCTCAGGTACACCACGGTATGTTTATTCCATAATACAAACCTCTAAATCCATCATGTGTCTATGAAAACAGCGCTAACTTGTGTTAGTGTGTGTGGGGGACGGTGAAGGGGCTGGTTTGAAATTGTGCCTAGCATTGTACATTTGCCTCCGTGTACACATGAGTGGGTCAATAAAAAATTGACCCACTTATATAAACGTTTTTACATAGCATTACCAGTTTTTCAGCCACCATGGATGGACACCAATATGTTTGAAAGGGGACGGTGAGGGGTGTTCAGTTTGTTGCAGTCTGCAACCTCACTGCTATCCTCCAATTCCTTCAAATGCACTTATGAATGTGTGTTGTTTCTGTTTTCTAGCAAATATCTTCATCTGGTCACTTTCTCCTAACTTCTGAGCTGCAACCAAGAGATGTGGCTTCCTCACCTGAAGGCAGTGTTTATGGACTCGATTCAGAACTGGAAGATCTTGGAGAAGATGAGCCAGTTAGAGAGACAGGTTTTGACAAAGACATGGACTCAGTGCTAATGTCAGCAGGTACAACAACGAAGGCTGAAGCACTGATCATGATAATGAGTCATGCAGCAAGGCACAATATAACAGGGACACAACTTGATGATTTATTAAAACTCATAAATACTCTGTTTAGCAAAGAGGTGCTACCAAGATCAAAATCTTTGTTCAACAAGGTCTTTCAAAACAACTCAGAAAGTGTGGAGTTTCACTACTACTGCAAAACCTGTAAAGTATATATTGGCACAAAGGGAGACATAAAAGACAAAAACATTGCACAGTGTTCAATTTGTAGTACTCTTATTGAAATCAATTCCATGAACCGTTCAAGTTTTTTTATCAACATACCAATTGCACCTCAAATTCAGACACTTTTAGAAATTCCTCAGATTCAAAACAACATGAGCTACAGACACCAAAGGCTACAAAATGATCATGTGATCTCTGACATCTATGATGGCGAAAATATCCTGAATATCCTGACAGAGAAGCAAAAAAACTGCTGGCAGATATGGAGCAGGCAGTAGCACAAAACAAAAGTGTCAGAGGAGTGAAAGGTCCATCACCACTCAACATGCCTTATTTTGATATAGTGTGGGGCTTTGTTCCAGACTATATGCATGCTGTGTTACTTGGTGTCATCAGACAACTCACAGAGCTTCTTCTAAACAACAGCGAGCAACCCTACTACATTGGGAATGGCACCACTATGGGGGTGCTAGAAAACAGAATGAAGGACATAAAGCCACCACACCTGATAACTCGACTACCCAGACCTCTTGCAGAGCTCAGGCACTGGAAAACCTCAGAGTGGCGAACATGGCTCCTGTTTTACAGCTTGCCTGTCCAGAATGGTGTACTTCAGCCATGCTATCTGAAGCACCGAGGCCTTCTGGTGTCGGCAGTATATCTTCTTTTTAAAGAGAATGTCACCTTCCAAGACATAAACAAAGCAGATAACATGCTGTTTGAGTTTGTTGCAAGGTTTCAGTTGCTGTACGGAGAGGTGTCAATGACATTTAATGTACATCTGTTAACTCACCTTGCTAAGTCTGTGAAATTGTGGGGGCTACTCTGTGCACACTCAGCATTTGTGTTTGAAAATGCAAATGGTGGGCTGTTGAAACTGGTTCATGGAACTAAGTGTGTAGCTCTACAGATTGTGAACAAATTCCTGTTGCACAGAGCAAATACCTCTCTTAACCTCCAGGCATGCAGTAAGGGAGTAAGTCAAGGAGTTCTGTTTGGAGATGACAAATGACTGAAGAGTAAAAAGTTTCACAAAATGTCAAGACACAACTGGAGAGTGACAGAGACCACTACTGATGAGAAGAGTGCCTTTGTGTCTGCACAAAAACAAACACCAGATGAATTGGTAGTGCATAAGAGAATGGTGCATAAAGGACTGGTGTATACCGGCAAAAGCTATACCCTCAGTAAGAGACGCAGGGACCGTTTTGCAAAGCTCAGCGATGGTGTTTATGGGGAAATTCAGAATATCATATCCCTTCCTTCAGAAGGAGGTACAGAAATTGCTGTATTGTTCAAAAAGCTTCATACACATACCTCCTTTCCTTTATCACAAGGTTATGGGTTTGTGTCACATATCCGACTCGTTAGTGGAGGACTTTTTTCTCCAGTGTGTCTGATTCTAGTTGACAGGTTAGAGCAGAAATGCATGATTTTAAAAATAAGTGATCAGATGTACATTTGTGACTTTCCAAATTCACATGAGAGAGACTAGTCTGACTAGACTGAATCAAAGATGGTCATTCTAGCTTGCATTCATTTTGAGTTGGCTGATTAGACTTTATCTCGGGTAGAGTTTAGGCTGAGCTATGCTGGGATGTACAGATGTGGAGAAATGTTTGTACCTGTGCTGTCCTTGTTGTACTGTACTGTACTGTGTATCATTTGACAGCCAGATAAATGCCATCCAAACATCAAAACTCTGAAGACTGTCTGCTTCTTGAAGGGTGAAACTAAAAACATAATCAATTCTCTGCTTGCTTTAACATGTACGCAATGTAGATACATGAACTCAATCTCTAAAATGAATTAAGGTTTTACAGGCTTTATGTATTAATTGTGATTTTAACTTTAAACATAACATCAAACTTTTAATATGTATTCCGTTATCTGTTTGTTTATCTATTTGTAACTTTCATGAACTCTCACTGGCCTAAGAACAGTGCGGTCATTAGCAACAGTAATTCAGCAAACTTCTATCATAAACTTCAGAAAACGTAATATTGTCCAAAAATAATGCAGTGTTATATATGCATATATCTTATCTTATCTTATAAGAACAAGACAATACATACCCACGATACCACCATGAGGCATATGATGTGTACAGATGGCGCTGGATTAATCTGATACTAAAAATATAACCTCTCAGTGCCATGCTTCCATACTTCCTAATTACTGATCACTACTGACATCCTCTAATTCTTAAAGTGACCACAGCAAACTACAGGAACCCCTTTAGAAAACACATAAGATTTCTAATGCACTAACTTAACTGTAACAGAACAGTACCGTTCCACAAAAAATAAGAATTCACAATTTCTCTAAAATGACTTGAAAATTAACAAGTATCCATTATTGTTTCTTCCATAAATTTTCAAAATCAGACTTTGCTTTTGATTTTTTGCTCGTTTGAATATATTAAATAATGAAGGAAAATGGCAATGACAAAATTGATGATTTGCACAATATGAGTAGAATATTGCCATGATCACCATATTATTTTTATATCATAATAATAGTTGTAACATTTTTGTGAGCTATATGACATGGCTATATGACATGCCCCTAATTACAAGATTGAAGTCATGATACTAATGAAAGAAAACATCTTTAAAATATCAGCTTAACCAGCAAGGCCACCCTGGTGGACCAGCTTCATTAATGGGTTCTTGCTGGTGGACCAGCTTCATTAATGAGTTATTGCTAGTGGACCAGCATCATTAATGAGTTCTTGCTGGTGGACCAGCATCATTAATGAGTTATTGCTGATGGTCCAGCATCATTAATGAGTTATTGCTAGTGGACCAGCATCATTAATGAGTTCTTGCTGGTGGACCAGCATCATTAATGAGTTCTTGCTGGTGGACCAGCATCATTAATGAGTTCTTGCTGGTGGACCAGCATCATTAATGAGTTCTTGCTGGTGGACCAGCATCATTAATGTGTTATTGCTGGTGGACCAGCTTCATTAATGAGTTATTGCTGGTGGACCAGCTTCAATAATGAGTTATTGCTGGTGGACCAGCTTCATTACTGAGTTCTTGCTGGTGCACCAGCTTCATTAATGAGTTCTTGCTGGTTGACCAGCATCATTAATGAGTTATTGCTGGTGGACCAGCTTCATCATGCTGGTCGACCAGCTAAACCAGCACCGAACCAGCATAAACCAGCATTTGTTTAGCAGGGTACGAAGGCTGAAAAATGCAAAAACTGACAAAAAGCACAACTTCGCGGGTTTACTGTAGCGCCCCCTAGTGGTTGAATGCAAAGAAAATCTCAGGGTATGTTACAGGATGCAATGAGCACATATGCTGCATATTTTGTAATTTTAGGACAAACAGTTGAGAAGTTATGTGTATTGATATATAAGCCACGCCCTATAAAGTGTATTGGTCCATATCTTGGAAACGCGAAGAGATATCAAAAAGCTTTTGATACCTTTTGATGATCTATATCCATTAATGATCCACGGCAAATTTGTTAGCAATCGGACCCAGCATGTAGGAGCAGTTTGCAGAAATGTGTTTTTCACTAAATTCAAAATGGCGGAAAATCTAAGTAGGCGGAGCTTAGGGGTCTGATAGGCTTTTTTGTAGATCTAGTGGATTCGGACATGTGTGTTAAATTTCAAGTAAATTGGACATACTGGCCGAGGGGCGTCGCTGGTCCGACTTGAAGGGGGCGCTAGAGAGCCATTTTTTTACACAGAAAGATGCATCCTTTTCAGACACTAAGTTGCACCAGGCCTGACAAGTCCCCAAAATTTGGTGAGTTTTCATGCATGGCAAGTCCTCCAAAAATGCGTAGGTTTACCTAAACAAGTACAATTTCAATAGGGCCTTTGCTGGCCCGACGTTGTCGGTTGCTCGGGCCCTAATTAAAGCTGCAAGCAGTGATGACCGGGCCCTCGCATCTTCCAGCGTGTCGGGGGTGCCGGCGGGACTCCGGCCTGCGCGTCCGAGAACGTCCGTGACCGTCGGACAGCGCGTCCGAGAGTGACACGTTTTTAATCCCGCGTGGACCGCCTGATGCTGGAAATGATGCTTTGCAAATAGTCCGATGCTTCCTGTATCCCCTGCCTGGCGCTAAAGAACATGTGCAAACATGCATCATGTAGCTCTGTGTCAAATGTAAACCACATTGTGTAAAAGTCATGTAAATCGGATGGTGTTTATCACAAAATGCAGATTTCCTTTCGCCAGCTGTGAGTATTATTGAAAATTAGCTTGTAGACATCCTCAGGCCATGAGCGTTATCAAGCATGGGAAGTTTGGGACCGTTTGGAACAAATCCAGCTGAGTTACATCAGCTTTTTTGATGGGGAATCATATAAAGTAGCCACCCGCTACGGCTAAACGATTCCGTCAAACGTAAAGCTTTTGATAACTTTTAATCACAACGGTCTTTAGATTGTACTGACCAAATTCAAAGTGGATCTGATGAAGTCCCTAGGAGGAGTTCGTTAAAGTATAGCGCCTTTAAATTGTCAAAAATCAAAGGAAAATTCACACATAAATCAAAATGGCCGACTTCTGGTATGGTTTAGTCCAGTGGTTCTCAGCTGGTCTGGCTGCAGGACCCACCATCACCCCTTAATGACAAGCAGCGACCCAAATCGAGGAAACTGTTCAACTTCTCAAATGCATTTACAGTAAGTAAAGATGGTGCAGTTTGAACCTGAGCTGAACATGTCCTCTGCAGTCGTAGTGTAGGAGCTCTCTGGTGCAGAGAACTAGTTGCTGTCTGTCCCCGTCACACATGTTTCACGTAAACCAGTAAAACTGCTTTGTTTGTGTCTGTAGATTCGTTCATTTGTGATGCAGAATGACCACTTGCCTAAATTGGAGCTGTGGTCTGTTGTTTGATGTCATCCGACATGTCTTCAGTTCAATACTCATAGTGTCATTAGACAGAGGTATAGTCTTCACTTTATCCTGCTGATATTAGCATTACAAGGAATTAACGTCAAATATTGTTCAGGAGTGTGAATAGATGGCACTCTGCTGCATAAAAAAATCACCTTCAAAATAAAAGCACAGGATTTCTTTTCTTTTATAGGCAAAGGCCTGCGACCCACTGAAGACGGGTCCGCGACCCACCAGTTGAGAATCACTGCCTTAGAATGAGCAAAAGTGATGATTGTGTAATTGATGAAAATACTAGAAATCTTTGTGTTTCATGAACTTCAGGTTGGGCTCTGATGTTTCCGTTTTCATCACTTTGTTCACTCGAGAGGACAAAATCATTCCAAAGACGTCCTCATGAAGCTGAATTCAGCCTTTGTAGAATCAAGAGTGCGTTCTCCCTCCACTGGGACAAGAGTAGGAATATGTCTTCATTCAGCTTTAAAGCTCAGTTATAGAGTTGAGCTTTACTTTACTGTCACATTTTATTTTCTCAGTAAAAACAAGTAGATTCTATTGTTTCAGATAAAATCAGGTTCCACACATTTATGCAAATAGATCATCACAAATATGTAACTTTAGACAAATGTACAAATCATTTTACTTTGTAGAAATGTGGTTCCAGTTCATGTAAATGTGATGTGAAATATAAAACAGTGACATGTTGAACCAGAATCAGGTGATTGTTTGACTGAATATGTGACTGATATACTGAGCTACATCTTTTATTCTTATTGTTCTGACTGAAAGTTGACCTTCAGAAACACAAACAGGTTCAACACTTGACTACGAGGTTAAAGAGTGAAATGTGAGGTTTGATTAAGGTCCAGGTCAGATGAACAGGATCCTTTTTAAACAGAGACCACCAATGAGGACTGAGAGGAACCACAACAACAAAGTTAACATGAAACAAGTCATGTGCCATATGTGTTTGTACAATACAATTCTGTCAACATATAAATAAAATGAATTCATATAAATATCTGACTCCATCTTTGTTCTGTTTATTTGAGACTACTGTGTGAAGTTGTTTCGTTAAGGCTTTTATTGTGGTGTTTCCTGTGTTTTATTTTGAAAGGAACCTGGTCTCAGGTGGTCAGCGTAACTTGACAGAAACACACAAACGGTAGTAGAGCTTCCGGTATTTAATGTGGAGTAAAAAAAGTGTATAAATGTGTTAAAAACTCCTCTTAGCGCCAGTTGAACAGGTAACAAGGTGTTTAAATTGGTTCATATCTTTGTAAAGATTGAGAGTTAACTTTTACTGGACGTCAGTTAACCGGATGTGTTGTTATCGATGCAAGATGGTGCCGTGCCAGCGGCAGCCTGTTGCAGCAGCTCCCTGTGCGTTTTAATTTTAGTCTTTCTTCACTTTTTCCCCTCTTCTTTTTGTTTGTTCTTTTTCTTCAACGTTTGTTTTTTACGGTCAAACAAAGGACCGTAAATTTTTCTCAACTTTTCTCGTGGCTCTTCTGTTACTTTTCCTCCTGTTTGTAACGGAGGACCATTGTTTGCTCCGGCGATCAGCTGATTACGCTGAGCATCTGAGCATACTTGACTTTCCATTGTTTCTGTGGTTCCAACACAGTTTTTCCTTCAGGTTACGAAACAGACAGATTCTAGCAGGGAGCCACGATGACGTCAGTGGACCTTTTGAAGACTCTGAAGGATTTAAAAGAAGATGAATTTAAGGAATTCACCTGGCTTCTGCAGCAGCATGGCTTCATGAAACCTTACCAAGCTATCAAAGAGTCAAAGCTGGAGAAGGCAAATAGGCTGGACACTGTGGATCTGATGGTGAAGACCTTTGAACTTTATGGAGCTCTAGAGGTCACCAGGAAGGTTTTACAGCAGATACCCAGGAATGATCTGCTGCAGAGTCTGACAAACACCAGCTCAGGACGAGAAGGTCAGTCACACTTCAGTCATTTGTACTTTCATGTAGTGAGTTCAAATGGGCAACACAGTTCTTGTAATAGAACAGGGTCTTAATCATGAGAAAAGGCTCAGGTGATGTATCGTTATTATTGGACAGATTGTGCTGACGCTACCTGATTCAGTCACCTTTATTTACTCCTTGGTTTGAGACACTGAGATATTAATGTACTGTGATCAACGTATCCTCATACGATGGTACAAATTCTGCTCATTACATTAATACAGAAAGTACTTAGTTTAGGAAAAAAACACTGTGGACAGTTGACTCCATGTCGGGTGAATGTTTGATCGCGGTCGACACAGAGTAGGTGAATGTGTTGGTTGTGATCTCCCTGTAACCGGTTGTATATGGACCCAAATGCAACACACAGGATTCCAGGGATCTTTGACCTTTTATTACAAACTTCAATAACAGCAGGCAGAGTTTAAACAGGGTCAGGATCAGAAGGCTGGTGGGTTTACCGGGAGTCAGGCAAGGCGGGTAAAACAGGGGCAGGCACGGTCGGTAACAGGAGATCAGTCCGTGAGAGTGTACTGCAGAGTCTGGCATAGAAAACCAAAGAACAATCTGGCGAATGTGTCTGGGAGGCAAGAGTCTATATAGGGGCTTGATTACTGATCAGAGGCAGGTGAGTGAACAGGTGAAGGGAGTTTAGACTGATGAGGAGGGAGTGACTGACAAGTAGAGTGAGGAGGGTGTGGAGCTGAACTGTGACACTCCCAGAGCAGGACTAAGGTCTGTTGTTTGGATGGACTTCATTTTAGAACCATGTGTAATAATTGAATGAAAGAATAATTGTAGCTAGAAATGAAGAATAGTTTGTGGAGCTACAGCTGTGTTGACAATGTCCCACAGCGATTACACTCCAACTAATCGTCTATCCCAGACACAATGATGTAACCTACAGCACATAACACAGAAACATGTTTTACACCTGTGTTACGTATGGTTCTATGTCCTGCTGTGAATGTTTGTGTGTGTGTGTGTGTGTGTGTGTGTGTGTATTCTGTAGGTACATCCCAAGTCTCTGAATTCTCATTTCCTCGATCCTCACTTGAACCGGAAGTTGTTCTGCGCCGCCATATTGACGGCCGTCCCAAAGCTCTTGAGTCATGAGTGAGGACCCACGAGAACAGACTTCCAGGAAGTCTTTTAACGGCCGACACGCCCCCTCATTGTTCATCAGTCATGTGATTGGACGCTGCAGCCGATCGGACTGATGAGATTTGTTTTCAACATGTAAACAGTGAAGACGGATCACAGATTAAACTCAAGCTTTATATTTGATTCGTTTTCTGATTCAACATCTGGTTTAAATACATGTTCATTGTAGTCTGAACAACAAAAGGACCACAAACAACTTTCTACATTTATTAGAAAGATTTATGTTTTCATGATCTGAACTTTTATTATGGAAACAATTAAAGTCAGAGGGAACTGGGGAGACGAAACACTTTTATTTATATATATATATATATATATATATATATATATATATATATATATATATACACCACT